TAAAAGTTTTCATTATATGGGGCCATACCAAAAAGTGGACGGATATTACCCATTTCCTTTACCAATGATTATGGATGTTATCAAATGATCTCTGCAAAAATTCAAAGTCCCATCCTAAATGTTTGCGAATTATATGTCAAACTATTGGGGGTCCCTTGTATATCCCCAAAACTATATAAAGGCCTTTGGAATTTTCCGCATCTCAGACTGGCTATTAGGCCGGCGTATTTGGAAAAAGTGTGAAAATTTAAAAAAAACGCACAAGGTTTTTTATAAAAAAAACATTATGATATTTTTCATGGTATGTATTAAATATACAGATTTCTTTTGTTCAGAGACTCACAATGAAATTCGACGTAGAATATTTCTTCCTTTAACACTTTCCCCGAAAAATGAAGTATAAAGGGAGATTTTGTCTCAGAGTGGAAACGTGTTAAATTAGCATTTAATAACTTCACCACATAATTTTCCCCTATAATGCATAAATTTCGAATGTAATTTTCTTAAAAACTATTATACATATTTATATAGTTTATTTTGAGATTTATAGTAAAATTTTGAGTAGAATATTTCCTCTTTTGACATCTTCCTCTTAAAACGAAATTTTATGCTGTTTTCAGGCATAAAATCGAAAAAAGACCGAAGAAAAATTGATCAAAAACATTGGAAATATGTTCTCGCTTTTTGGCAAAAATTGATGCAAATATTTTCACAATATATAATGCAAAAAGAAATTTCTTTTCCTTGGTGACTTATAGTGAAATTCGATAAAGAATAATATTGTCTTTGGCGAAATTCTTCTAAAATTTCGATTTGTAGGAGAATTTTACCTAAATTAACTCAAAGTACGGATATGAAAAGTCAAATGTGTTTTTAGGGGTTTGGGTATGATTTACGACTTTTGATGTCTTCTAGGATCTATAGTAGAATTTTATGACAAATATTTTTTGAAGAATATTTTGACATGCTACGAACCCGTTTAAAGGTAGTCTATAACCATATTTTGAAAAGAGGACCAAAAAAACATATTTGATGATTCACTTGAGTGCCAATTAAGCATTTCGAATCGCGAAAGCATCCCCATTTACATCATGACAGTATGTTTAATTAAATATTTTGCAAACGTTTTAATTGTTTCATCAATTGTCAATCAAAACAAAGAGAATTTAATTTTATACAAAATTGATTTGTAAAACAACAAAACCAATATTGATGCTTTTTTGGTGTTTTTTTTTTTTTTTTTGTCATTCTGTTTTGGTATGTAAATAGCCAGTAATGGATGGCATTGGCGGATGAGCCGGATGTTTGATTGGCAAACACATTTTTGTTGCTGCTGTCGTTTGAAAATATGTTTGACGACATCACCCACAGTTGGAATGACGAAAGAGATTTTTTTAAATTCAAAATTTTATTTGGATGTGATATCAAAACAGCCAGGGGGGGGCATTTAATATTTTATGGGTCAAAATACGAAATACCTGGTAATATTTACTCTGAAGCGGGGCACACCAAGAGGGGTCTTTCTTGTCCATTAAAAAAACTCAGAGATCGTAGCAAGTCAAATTATTCTAGAAAATTATTTATCATATAATCCTACTATAGGTCTCAGAACACATAAAATCTTACCCAATCTTATAAATACGAAAAAACATTTAAGGTTTGTTACTTCATTTGAGCCTATGCAAAATTCTACCATAAAATATCATTTTAGAAGAATGACGTCAAAGACAAAAATATTCTCCATCAAATTTACTAGTCACCACAGAACATATATCTCTTTTTCCATTATATACCAAGAAAATAATAATTCGGATTTTTTTAAAAAAAAGGAGGTTGAATGCAAAGACAAAAATATTCTTCATCCAAAATTTTACCATAAGTCACCAAAGGGTGGAATAATTTTTCAGCTGACTTTTTTTCGAGTTAATGCATGAAAATCGCATAAAAGTTCATTTTAGGCAAAAGGTGCCAAAAGAGGAAATATTCCGTACGGAATTTCGTTACGAGTCTCCTAATTTACTATACAGGGTGAGATGAAAAAAACAGCAACCAACTTCAGACTGCTGTCATTTCTAAGCCACTTGTCCGACAGCTGTTAAAATTATTTCAGCGATAGCTCATTATATTTTTTACAAGCTTAGAAAAACATGTTGGTGAGAACTTTCCAGAAAAAATGTTATTCGTGATGGAATTCAAGCGTGATAGTGTGATTTCTTTATATTTGACTGGAAAACCACAAGTAGCCCTCGTTTGAGCACTCCACCATTTAAATGTGAATAAATCATTTGTGTCTCGTACCATCGCTCGTTACCGTGATACCGGCCCGACGTCAAGGAAGTGGGCGGAAGAAAACAGCAACATCAGCAGAAATGATTCGAAAAGTAAAGAAACGACTTGATCGAAACCTACGTCACAGTGGCCGAAAAATGACTCGTGAACTGAACTTATCGCAGTATTCCATTCGACAAATATTGAAAGATGAACTCGGGCTAAAGCCATTGAAATTCCAAAATGTGCAAGAACTTACACCGCAACAGAAAGAAAATAGACTCAAAAGAGCTGCTTCGCCGAAAGTTGGTCGAAAGTGGTGATCTGCCGAATTTGGTTTTCCCATAGTCCGATGAGAAAACATTCGTTGTCCAGCGGTTTGTAAACAAACAAAATGGTCGTGTTTACTTGCCAAAGAGGTCAGCTGAAAATGTGCACCTTCGGTTGGCCACCAGAACTCAAAAGAGCTAAAGACTTGCTTCGCTTGGCCGAATGTGGTTAACTGCCGAATTTGGTTTTCTCCGTCTCCGATGAGAAAACATTCGTTATCCAGCCATTTGTAAACATAATGATCGTTTTTACTTGACAAGGAGGTCAGCTGAGAATGTGCCCCTTCGGTTGGCCAACAGAACTCAAGCGCCGGCCATGGTGTTGTTGTGGGCCGCTATAACAGCCGATGGTCGCTCTCTGCTCGTATTAATCGACTATGGCATTAGAATTAATGCCAATATTATCACGAAAATATTCTGGAGGGTGTATTAAAGCCTTGGGCATGCCGCAAAAATTTTGGCCGCAGACCTTGGACATTCCAACAGGACTCAGCACCATCGCACGCGCTACCCAAGAATGGCTACAAAATGAGATTCCTCGCTTCATTTCCAACGCACAATGGCCACCAAAATCTCCGAATAACAATCCGTTGGACTATTGTGTCTGGAGTATTTTGGAAAGCAAGGTTGGCACCCAAAAAAAATACCAAAGTGACGATCACCTCAAGCAAGCGCTTCACCGGGAATGGCCAAAATACCCCAGAACAACATTTGGGCAGCGTGTGACGGTTTCATTGACCATCTGAAGGCCATAATTCGTGCCAAAGGTGACCAATTCGAACAAATCTAAACTTATTCTAAAATTTTATGCTATTTCCGACATTTTTTGCTTTCAACAAAATTTAAGCGATCCCGTTTAAAAGAAGTTTGCAGCCATATTGTGAAAAAAGGACCAAAAAGACACCTTTGTTGACTCGTTTGAAGATTAAAATTTTCGATTAAAATAATCCTCGTATTGTTATCTGTAATATTGTCGAAGACACAATATACTTGAAGTGCAAGGATTCCAAGGATTTTTAAAACGAAAATTTCAATAAATTTGGAAGTGGGGGACCTTCCCCCCTCTATTAAGATTAGTTATCAATGTAAACCTTAAAAACGTCGATACACGTGTTGCTCTACTTTCGTAATCTGCTAAGTTTATTGCCGGAATTATTCTTTGAGTTGCAAGGATTCCAAGGATTCTTAAAATGAAAATTTCAATAAATTTGGAAGTGGGAGACCTTCCCCCCTCTATTAAGTTTAGTTATCAACATAAACCTTCAAAACGCCGATATACGTGTTGCCCTAATTTCATAATCTGCTGAGTTTATTCCCGGGATTTTTTTTTGTGTTGCACAGTGTAATTATTCTGAAATGCTAGAACGTGTTATAAGTGGTACACTTTATGACATTTAAATACGACAACTAGGTATAAACTTTATGGATAATTATTAACAATATTTGATTTTAAAAAATTGTTAAAGCACGACAAGTTTTATTTTTAAATTCTTGGAAGTTGGTGGGTTTTTCTGCGAGGCACCGGTTTTCGAGTCATTTGTTTAACACAGATTTCCAAAATGATTTCTTGTTAATTATTTTGTGGTTATTCGTAGGTATTTATATTTTTTCATTGACAATTTTTTTTACAGGGAATTAATTAATTATTTTTTTAATGTCTTGATAACGGCGAATTTACGGCATAATCACGTTATTTTTCTTGTAACTTCTTTACGCACTTATCTTTGTTAATTTTTTTATTTATTTTTTTTTACAGAATCATTAGTCCACCACACGTCATTACCCGCATCACCACCTGGAACGTGTTGTAGAGATTCACTAACCAGCCGTTATGTTTATTTTTGTGTTTTCTTTTTTTTATCGAACCACCCGAATTTTCTCCAGGTGAATCACAACACCTCCACATCACACACAACACACCTGAAAGAAGGGTGTCAATGGGGTATCACAATTATCCGAAATTATGTGTAAGACTTGCTGAACACGTTCGCAGAGCAGTGGCGGAATGGTGGCCAAAAGCCAGTCACACAGTGGACCTTACAACAATTTCCTACTAAAAATTTTCTTCGTTCGATGGAAAACTACAATGGTCGACCGGTCGTCTGTCTACGGCAGTGTCTGCAAACATTAACTTCTTCTGTCGCCGAAAACATTAACAAGACAACACCATCGCGCCATATGCCACAGACGTACATACACACATCGTTTGTCATTCGTACATCATCAAAATAGTTTGGTTTGTTTGTTTTCTTTTGAATTACTTTTCTTCCTCTGCGGGAGGGAGTGAGGGAGGGGGTAAGGGAGTAGAGAACACAGCAACAGTAAATCACCAAAAAAATAACAACCCGGCCAAAACGAAGACGTTTAGATCTTTTTCTTTGATTTGTTAAAATTTTGAGTTACGTTTTTTTTTCTCCTTTTTTTCTTTCTAAGCGACGACAACCGACTCACGCTCTCATTAATGCAAAACTAAATGTGCGTTTTCGAACAACATCAACTCAAAGTCAGTCTCTGTGATTTCGAAGTTGGCCTCATGAAGCCAACTGAAACGTTGGCGATGACGGACGTTGGCGCAACGACGACGACGATGATATGATAGCAACAACTTCAGCAGCAACAGCAGCTTTGATGGAAAGTCAAGCTTTGAAGCGTTACGCTTTGTTGAGTCCAGAGAGCAATGAAACAAACAACCAGCAGCAAAGGTAATACGGTTATGTACGCTTGCGCTCACGGTCTTAACACGTTCGTAATGGTGTTGGCGTTGTGGAAAGGCTATTCGACAACAAACAAACAAACAAATAGCACGTCAAAATCAGTGCGCATTAGTGTTTGCAACAATACAAAAAAAAATAAAACAGTAGCGACATTTTCGGGGGGCCTTGATAAAAATAAAATTTGGATTTTTATATCCAAAATAAAAATATAATCCCTCCCTTTCCCGAGGAAAAATTCCTTATACCAAATTGAGGGGTTATGTCAAAACCCATAAATAGCCCATTCCAAATCCTAAAAATACAAAAATGAAGTTAAGCCTTTACATTGAGGATATTACAAAATCTGGATCTATTTTGAAAAAAAAAACAAGTTAAAAAGCAGGAAGTTCGGCCGGGCCGAACTTTGAATACCCTCAACCAATGGAATCCTTAAAAAAAATTCTGTTAAAATTTTAAAAATGCCGAATATATAGCCATTCAAGGCTCTATATTGTGGTCAAAAGCTTTAAAATTTAGATCCCACCAAATTCAAAATTTCTGGATAAGGTTGCATGGAGGCCATTAACAAATAGTGGGTCTATATTATTTTCTTTTACCAATTTCTGTTGCAACAACATTTTAAATTGAAGCCCTTTCGATTGGAAACTATGCCAAAAATCCAGATTCCGGGGAAAAATTCCTTTTACCAAATCGATTGGATCACCCAAAGTCTGGGGTTATGTCAAAACCCATACTTATAATATGGAATAATCATGCAAGATATTTTTCTACCCGTAAATAAAAAAACAGGTAACCATAAAAGCCCATTCCTTTGGAAAAAATTACCAAGATCCTCAAAATACCAAACTTGGGTTGAGCCTTTACAGTGGGGACTTTAAAAACTCTGGAATTATTTTGAAAGAAAAAAATTTCGGTATATTAAGTTACCAGGCCTTCTATTTTGGGCAGAGTCCAAGTATGACCAAAAGAGAAAATTTTGAGTTTTAGCTTACTGAGGCTATATATTGTGACAAAAAGCTTTAAAACGACGAAATCGGGGGAATTTATATCCGAAATTTTTGGATAAGGTTGGTAGGAATGCCAAAAATCAAGAGCAACTGGTATATGGGGACACATATTACTATTAGTAAAAGAGAAACGTTACTCATTAAAACTTAGGCTAGAAAGAGCCTTGAAATTTGACATTGAAATATCGAAAATTGTGAAAGTTGCTAAATTAGTAACTTTTTCTCTGAAATGGAACTTTTTATACCCTCAGCCATATGCCTATAGAGGTTATATATCATTTGTTACGGCCAAAACGTATCTCATCGAAATAGCGGTTTTATACCCTAGGTCTCTTTAGATCATATTCGTTTCAGGGCATTTAGAGTCGATATTTGTATCAGTGCTTGGTGCTGCGCGATAATGGACAATATCGATCCACTGCCTCAAGTACCTCCCCCTAAAGGGCCAACATTTTGAACAATTATAACTCTTATAAAATGTGATGCAAGAGTCCGATTATCTCCAAATTAAACACATCACAATATTTTTATTAACCCAAGGTCAGGTATGATGATGGAATATATCGGCCCACTAAAACATTTAATTTATATATATGAATGAAGCGAGGAACCGCATTGGTGGTGATGAGTTTTGTTGGAATGTCCGAGGTCTGCGGCTAAAATGTTTGCGTGCCCAAGGCTTCATTAATACACTCTCCAGAATATTTTTGCGATAATATTCGGCATTTATTCTGATGCCACGGTCGATTAATACGAGCGGAAAGCGACCATTGGCTGTTATGGCGGTCCACACCATCACCATGGCCGGCGCTTGAGTTCTGGTGGCCAACCGAATGTGCACATTTCCAGCTGACCTCTTTGGCAAGTAAACACGATCATTTTGTTTGTTTACAAACTGCTGGACAACGAATATTTTCTCGTCGGAGAAAACCAAATTCGGCAGTTCACCACTTTCGGCCAAGCGAAGCAACTCTTTAGCTCTCTTGAGTCTATTTTCTTTCTGTTGCGGTGTATGTTCTTGCACTTTTTGGAATTTAAATGACTTTACCCCGAAGTGATTTTTCAATATTTGCCGAATAGAATATTGGCATATGTTCAGATCACGAGTCATTTTTGGGCCACTGCGACGCGGGTTTCGATCAAGTCGCTTCTTTATATTTTGAACCATTTCTGCTGATGTTGCTGTTGTTGTTTTCTTCCGTCCACTTCCTTGAGGTCGGGCTACGCTACCAGTATCACGGTAACGAGCGATGGAACGAGACACTAAAGATTTATTCACATTTAAATGCTGGAGTGCTCTAACGATAGCCACTTGTGGTTTTCCAGCCAAATATAAAGAAATCACACCATCACGCTTGAATTCCATCACGAATAACTTTCTTTCTGAAAAATTCTCACCAAAATGCTTTTGTACGCTTGTAAACAATATAATGAACTGTCACTGGAATAATTTTAATAGCTGTCGGACGAGTGGCTTAGAAATGACAGCAGTCTGAAGTTGGTTACAGTTTCTTCATCTCACCCTTTAAATGTTAAATTCTCTTGTAATTTTGCCATTGCCAATATTTAGATGAAGTATGAAAATGGAAAATACTTCGGTCGACTATATATGAACGTATCACATATTTCATATAAAGTGAAGTTACTTCCTGAAGTTATAGTCCAAACCTGCCATTTCGCAATATTTATATCACATGTATTAAGGTCCGATACGAAATGGACAATATTGGCCCAGTCCTTCAAAACCTACTACCTAGAATGTAGGTTTTGAATAATCATAACAGAAGTCAAAATATATTTAAATAATCGGACATTGGCTGAGCGTAGAGTAATTCTCACTAAAATAATGACAACCAAAGGCCCCTGCTCCAAGGCCTGATAATACCCGCTACCTATTTCGGATTAACAAAACAAACATAAAAGTTACATATTCACTTAAATAAGACATTAGTTCAAGAAGATACAAAGATATCTCGGTGATTAGACAAATAAGAAATTTCTCATTTCCTTTTGAATGGCATCTATTAAATTTTTGAAGTTATTTAACAATTGAAATTTTGTTTTCTGCTGAATTTTTTCTCAATGATGACAACCAATGCCTTGAAAATACCTAAAAGATGTGATACGCTTGACATTCGACAACTCCTTAAATATAGAATTTAGATGACTTGCTATTTATTATAAACCTAAAACATTTTTGTTTAATAAGGTGTAAACCGATTTACCCCTGTTGGTCATTTTGGTGTAATTATTGAAATATATTTATTATTGAAATATAATTATTGAATATATTTTCGGCATAAATATGGAAAATATGTCAAAACTAGGTTTCTAATAGGAATTTTTTATATGTATTTTAATACAAAATTGGACCTTCAAGATATTTCAATGAGAGTATTAAATTTTTTTAAAGAAAATTCTCAACATTAATAAACAAAATTTTCGGTCTTTCAGATGACATCCAGTGCAGTTTATCCCCCAAATTGCTACACAGGGTGAGATGAAAAAACTGCAACCAACTTCAGACTGCTGTCATTTCTAAATCACTCGTCGCACAGCTGTTAAAATTGTTGCAGTGACAGCTCATTGTTTACAAGCGTACAAAAGCATTTTGGTGAGAATTTTCCAGAAAAAAAGTTATTCGTGATGGAATTCAAGCGTGATAGCGAGATTTCTTTATATTTGACTGGAAAACCACAAGTGGCTATCGTTAGGGCACTCCAGTTTTTAAATGTGAATAAATCGCTCTTTACCGTGCTACTGGTAGTGTAGCCCGACGTCAAGGAAGTGGATGAAAGAAAAAAGCAACATCAGCAGAAATGGTTCGAAAAGTAATGAAGCGACTTGATCGAAACACGCTTCGCAGTGGCCGAAAAATGACTCGTGAGTTGAAGATATCGCAATATTCCATTCGGCTAATATTGAAAAATGAACTCCGGGTAAAGCCATTGAAATTCCAAAAAGTGCAATAACTTAAAGCGCAACAGAAACAAAAAGTGGTGAACTGCCGATAAGAAAACATTCGTTGTCCAGCAGTTTTTAAAAATCAAAATGATCGTGTTTACATTCTAAAGAGGTCAGCTGAAAATGTGCAACTTGTGTTGGCCACCACAACTCAAGTGCCGGCCATGTTGATGGTGTGGACCGCCCCATAACAGCCGATGGTCGCTCTCCGCTCGTATTAATCGACCGTGGCATTAAAATAAATGCCGAATATTATCGCGAAAAAAATTCTGGAGGGTGTATTAAAGCCTTGGGCACGCAAAAATTTTGGCCTTGGACATTCCAGCAGGACTCAGCACCATCAAACTCAGGACGAACCACCCAAGAATGTCTACAAAATGAGGTTCCTCGTTTCATTTCCAGCGCACAATGGCCACCAAAATCTCTGGATACCAATCCGTTGGACTATTGTGTCTGGAATATTTTGAAAAGCAACGTTGGCACTAAAAAATACCAAAGTGTCTATCACCTCAAGTAAACGCTTCACCGGGAATGGGCCAAAATTCCGCAGAGCAACATTCGGGCAGCGTGTGACGGTTTCATTGCCCGTTTGAAGGCCATAATTCGTGGCAAAGGTAACCAATTCGAACAAATCTAAACTTCTTCTAACATTTTATGCTATTTCCGACATTTTTTGATTTCATTCAATAAAATTTAAAAAAAAATATGTAAAAATTATGACGTTTGACTTTGTCGCAGTTTTTTTATCTCACCCTCTAATGCGGATAAAGTATTTAACTTTTCCAAAACACGTGAATAACAAATCTACATTTGCCACATAATACCAAAAATATTGAAAGCCCCTGCCATCCTAATTAAAATATCTTCCAAAAGCCCCATTAGTATTTGTGACAAATTTGGTCAATTAATTTCCATAAAAATATAAACAAACATATTTGTTGTCCAAACTTCAGTTATGACCATCGCGTTTTTGGCTATCATGCCAAACAAATAAGCTAATGTTGCCGATAATTATCTTGTAAGTGGGCGTTTCGGAGTGCAAAAGAAAAGAAAAAAACGCAGCACTCAAAAAGCCAAGTTCATTGAACGAACGAAAACAAAGCCTTAATAATAGCTTCATAGACACCATGAAGTAGCTGCCTTATTTAG